AGAGGAATGTGCATCTGATCATGCAATACACTAACGGCCCTGTGTTTAAATATCACCTGGCTAGAGGGATTGTCCATTTTGAAGACAGCAGCATCATCCTCTAAGAATCTTATTTGAAGTGTGCAAAACCACAGCAGAAAATTGGCTCAAAAAACCATAAGCTGTTAACTCTGTCAGCACTGCTACAACCCCCCAGGGAACAGTTTCAGAAAGGCCATTCCTCACTTTTATTTCTGTGGAGTTTTTTTGTTTGTTTTGTGGTATGTTGGTTTGGGTTTTTTTCTCCTTGATTTTTTTGTTTGGTTGCTTTTTGTTCATTTGTTTTTGGTTTTAAGTGAGCAAGGCTCCTCAGACCACTCCACCGGAGAGGTTGCTGTGATCAGATGTCCTCCCCTGGGACTGCATAGGCAGTCTTGATGAAGACAACAGTGACTCACCCTCCATAGGTCTGCTTCTCTGAGACAGTATCGCCTTCTCACATCCCTGCTAGCAGGGTAAGCCCCAAATCATAGTCTCTGAACAATGCCCTAGCTGCCAGTTGGTGAGAAAAATCAAAGTTAGATGTAGTGCTCCTTGTTAAGTACTTTCTAGCAATTTTAATCAGCTGTAAAATTGAGAGATTTGCATTTATTCAATTTTTTTTAGCAATGTGTAGAAGTTACCACTCAGTCTCCACGGACTGAGTGGTCCATAAATGCGAGCTAAAAGCAGGAGTTACCCATGACCTTGGATTATAACATATTCAAAAACTCAGTCTATGGCTGTGACCCACTGACTCAATGAACTTGAAACATCCCACTAAAAAAAACCCCCTCAGAATAAGTTCCCAGGAGCATGACAAACGGATGGGTAAAATAACGTGTGGGTTGGACAGAGCACTATCAAGGAAATGCCTTGATCTTGAACTGTGGCTGCCAGATCACAGAGTGGTCTTGAGGGAGGACATCAGGTTCTCATCCGATCGCTGCTTTTAGTAAATGGTCTCAGAATATCCCATTACAGAGAGAGGGTACACACAGCAACCACAGGCATTAGCTGACTGCTCAACTATGTCCCTGCAACATATAAAAATCAAATGACAAAGCAGATGATGAAAGAGAAACAATCAAAAAGAAATTAAAGCTGACTGGTGTCTTAAGCTACAGTAAATTGCCTTGTGTTCTCCTGTGCAGCTAGGTAGGGATGTTGGTACTAAATGAGAAGAAAATTAACCCTGCTCTTTTTATCTAACCTCAATGTTAAAATACCGTTTCATGTTGTCATTGCAGCCGTTATATTTGGCACAAACCTTGGCTGCTCCCACTTTTCTGAAATCTTATTCCCTGTTAAAATCCAAGAGAAGTTTAGAAAGAGCTTAAGCAGCTCAATTTCAGGCATGTTGGGAGGGTCTGTTGTTAGCACAGTCCACAGCAGAGATGGGGTGAATTTAGACCTGTAGTTTTTTTGGTAAACATGGTAGGAAAAGCAAAAGAGTTAAAAATCATTTAAACTTGCTAAAACACAGAGCCAAAACAACAGCCAAAGGCTATGGAAACAGATCAGAGAAAAGACACTTATAGAATCTAGAAGTTGTAAAGAAAATAATAAATTTCAGCTCTACTAAATAAAATATATTCTAAAGGTTTTTTGTTTTAAAGACATCGCTGAGATCATAATCAATCAGTCTGGCTACTTAGACACAGCGCCCATCGGAGGATTTAGCAAAAATGAAGCACTAAATTATTCAGCATTTAAGCAATCGTGTAAAGAATATGTAGCTGAAAAGGATAAACTGCAAAACAAGATTATTTTTCCATTCCTTCAGTATATACTGGGCCTTCCAGAGAGATATTTAAACATTTTTTCCATGCACAGAATCGAGATCCCAGCTTTTAATCTTGTATTTTTAAGTCAAATTACTCTAGTGTTTATATGCAACTGAAAAGGATGACCTCCCTGTCTAACTTCTTAAATTAACGTTTTCACTGTATTTACAGCTATGTTTTTTCCTTCTCAGTTAGGCTTTAAAAATCAATCAAACAAAAAACCCCAAACAACCAACCCTCTCTCCCCCCCTCAAAACAACAATAAAACAATCAATCAAACCAAAACCAAAATCAAACAAAAAACCCCAAACAACTCTGCCCTTCTCTATTACAAATCTGCATAACGTTAAGCTTATAAATATTAGGTAAGTCTCATCTTTGTATACATGTACTACATGCAGACAGTACATGCATATGTCCAAGGAGTCACAGAGATAATCTTCTTCAGAAAAATACTATATATTCTCAGAAAGACAACCAGAAATCAGTAAGTTTAAAAATTTCAGTTTCCTCAGAAAGATTTTTTTAGCTGTAACGTACAAAACTAGATGAGATTTACATTCTCCATGAAGAGTTCTGATGGATTTTAGATATGCTTTAAAAAATTAGCTCTAATCTTCTGGAAGACTTTCCCTTTTTAAGTCTTCCTCAAGATTCATTATCAAGATTTTGAATGTCTTACAAAACATGAATACAAGCCAATTAGTGCTGGAGACTGTATCACAGCAGTTAATAGCCACAAGAACAATGACAAAATGGACCTTATTGCATGCAATTTCATGCAATTTTCACATACAGCTGTTAAAACTCAGGCAGGAGCCCATAACACTGAAATTCATACAGAACTGATACTGTAAAATGTTATGCCAACACCTGACAAGATGGAAAATGCTGTTTGTCAGTGACTGCATCTCAAGGTCACAGTATTAAACAGCATCAAAATAACTTGTTAAGGTGATAAATTTTGTCTCAAGCCCCCACCTCTTTTATTGTAGCATTGAATCTGGCATTGAATTTCCTTCTGGCAGCTGCATGAAAATACTCTCATGGGCTGAATGACACGATCTGGGCATCAGGGTTTACTGACTCATGACAGATGACCAACACACATTTCAGTGGCAGAGTTTCAATTTGATCACTGGCAGAGTTTCTTACTTATCTTTCAAATCACGGAATGACTTTTTAAATCACAGAATATTCTGAGTTGGAAGGGACCCACAACGATCATCAAGTCCAATTTGTAACTGAATGGCCCCTACGGGGATTAACCCACAACCTTGGCATTATTAGCACTGTGTTCTAACCCCTTAGCTAATCTTGGGCATGTTTGCTGCAAATTTCTAAACAGTAGGTAACGTCAAATCTAAGCCAAACAATAACGATTAAAACAGCAAGACATCAACTCTAACTAATTATATTAGGATTTGTTTTTAAAGAGGACACTTTTTGAAACTTAATGCCAAGCATGTTTTTAGTTGTTGGTCGCAGAGCAAGCAGGAATATTGTACTGAAAAAAAACTACAGTAGATGTTAGTACTCATTCAAATGCAGTTCTGTAATGAGGCGATAGCAAAGTCTGTTGAACAGAATTTGAGGCATTCTGCACTGCTTAAAAACACAACAGTTTCAAATCATCATCCATTTCCACCCTGCCATTGTGACAAAAGATTTTTCAGAATTCTATTACCTCTTTTTTTCCCCTACCATATTAAAATGTCAGAAAGCAAAATGTAACTCTGACAGATTTAACCCATATATTTACCTAAATGGATAATTGTTACTCTTGTGACAGTCTTCAAAATAAGTCAAACATGCCAAAATAAATACCTACAACATGTGCATTAAATTTACTTTTTTCCCCCCATTTTTCTAAGTATGTTAAATAGAGGCCCATATGCTTGTAAAGGGAACTCAACCATTCTGCAGCAAAATGGACTTACAGAAAGTGCACTATAAAATAACACTCTTAAGTTCTAGACCTTGCATTGCTGAATTACTGACATGCTCAACTTTAATTCTTTTACTGCTCAACTTCTGAGGAGTTTTAGAGATTTTTATAATGTATCTCCTTCAGAACTCAGGAAAACTGAACCTAACAGAAGAGCAAAAGCCCCACGGCACCCGAGCCAACCACCTCCCTGGTGGAAGAGTGGCAGGACTGGAACTCTGGTTTATTGCACAAGAACCGAGACCCAGGCCCAGAGATAACCATCAGGAGAGCAAGCTGCCACACTATCCTTGGAGTGCTGACACATTTTGCTAGATGATTTTGGCTACTTCCCCTTAGAAGGAACGGTGACAATCTGCAGATGTATCTGCAGACTAGAAGTGTGTAACAGCAACTACTTTCACTGCTTTTACACTTAAACTCAGTCCCATTCTCCCTCACCAACCCTTGCCTACACCAATCCCATTCCAGGTCAATGTCTCCATTGCCCCAGTTACTTACACGGAAACATCCCATGCTCTATTTCATTAAGGTTCTTTAGAGCTTACATCTCCTCCTCCTCCAGCCAGTTCCAGTCATCTTTTCTGCACCGCAAAGAGAAGGTGTAGTCACTGCTTTCTGTGACATTAGCGTCATTATCCTCTCAGGATCCCATCTGGCTCTGGCTCTCAGTTGCACCCACCTTCTCTCAGACTTTTTATCATCTCCTCTACAATCAAACTGGACCACTGCTTATTGCCTCAAGATCTGTAAGGGGTCATTCAACTCAAGCAAGAAAAAATTCCACTACATTCACTTTTTATTGCCAACGACACCCTGCTTTCAAAGAGCTATTACAGGGAATATTGCTGGGCTACAACTGATAGGACTGGCTCACTTGCTTAGCACAGAGGGGACATGGACAGGATCATCAGTGATAGATGGAGCGAGGAAGGTAACGTGCAATAGAAGTTAACTACTTAGAAAAAACTATCAACTGACCTTCAAAACCATCACAAGGAATTGCCAGTAATATCCCTGAATTAAAGGCCTGAAAAAGTCACAGCTTCTGCGTCAATGTTTTAAAACACACATTTGAAGTCACAGTGAGAATTTTTGTTTTAAGTTTGACAACATATCAAACAACTTGACACTGAGCCTTTTAACAGGAGAAAACAGAGAACCACAACAATTTCCCTGCTCAATACAAATAAAAAGACAAGGCAAGTAAGCATTTGACAATTCCTTTTTTTTTTTTGCCAGCTATGATGAATTCAAGTGCAGAAATGTTAAGCAGTTGGTGTTTCTCAAAAGATATTTTGTAAAGTAGTAATCCAAATACCAAAATGCATCTTGGCACATATTACAATGCAAAAGTGTTGACATACATTCAGACTTTATTTCATGTTTTTTTTCGAAGAATAAAGTACCAGTAAAGATCCATTTGCCGTACTGCAAACTCCTTGTTCTTATTGAGAAATACTTACTCTTGCAGACAATCCCACACAAATCAATGCTTCCTTTCCTTAGATGTCACATTAAACTACTCAGGTTTTAAGTGTTGTGAATGGGATTTGCAATCTGTTATAGTGTAAGTAAAGAGGATTGTCTGTATTTTGGAGCAAATGCTGGAAAACAAAAAGAGAATGACATCTGCTTTAAAGTAACTGCAGACAGTACAACTGGTGTATTTTGGAATTCTAAGGCAATACTGTTGGACCAGCATACGAAACTCTGCTGTAGAGACCAAGTTAACGTACTGTTTTCTTCGGCAAAGTAGAAATATTCTGTTGGTTTTCCCTTGCTTTTTTGTTTTTTCCTAATTCAGTAATAAGCAGCAGTATGAAATACCAACGTTGCCAGTAGATGAATTATGTACTGAACTTCTGCATTCAATGAATCCCTTAAGATAACATATAATGTCTGCTTTGAATAGTACACTCTTTAAGGTGATCTATCTGGCAATATTCATGTATATCAAAAATACACATGCACATTTTTGCAGACTCACAATTTAATGTATTTTCAGAATTCACTACAAAAATGCAGTTTCACAACTGCTAACATACATTGGACTTCTACAGTAGTATGGATGATGTACAAATGTCTTTTTCAGAACTACCAATACTGTGCATTGTGCAAATTGTCTAGGACTCCACTCCTTCTTGAGCAGCAGCTGGAAGAAAATTTGTATGTTGAATACTGATATCAAAATACAGATTTAAATAATTTACTCTTAAAAACATTCATATTTATAACCTCTTACAGAAAATAAACAATTTATCTGATTATTAGATATGTCCCTCAGTTTTTCCAGTTCCAAGGTATACACAGGTCTCCATCCTGGAGCACAGAGTAGAAGTGTGAAATGCAAAGGTGCATGCCTTGTAGGTATGGCAGCGATTCTTCCAGCAGCCGCTTACAACAATCTATCATCTGTGCACTGGAAACACTTGGCTCCTTATACAGCCGATCCAAAGAGAATTTTTCAGTGGAAGTATCAATTAGCTCTTTTTCTGTAATCATCATCCTAGCAAATGAAGACAAAACACAGTGACAAAGTTAGAACTTAGCATCTTAAAAAAAACCCAAAAAACCAAACCACCTTGAAGTAAGCATTTCAATATATACTGAATATATATTAAAATCGGAAATAATGAAATAAGTAGGTCATATGCATGTAAACAAAGGTATCAATTCATGTACAGTTGGTACAGCTGAGATTTTTGTGCAGATTGATACCTGTGTCTACTCAGAGGTCAGACTGAACATTCTTCCATGACTATGGGCAAAAGCATGCCCAGGGAGTCACATTTGAAAGCCTGCACCATGACATCTTGTTGCTCACTAAGTAACAGGGAAAAATACCAAAATAAAATCCTATAAAGCTCCATTTTTAATGTAAGGGATGCAAGTACTTAAATAATGTTGAAAGTGTAAGTTTGAAGTACAAGATCATGTTCATAATGACTCTCATGTTCCTAATTACACTAGTACTCTGTATGTCATCAAAAACAACAGTTGATAGGTACAGTCAATTGATGCACATTAAATGTGTTAAGTGACTTCCTAAAAGCAGAATTATATGGATCCACTTGGACCTTATGATCTTAAAGGTCAATTCTAAGAATATTGAATTCATAGCTTGCAGATGGTTTTTCCTTTTGCCTCAAAGTGATAAGACACCACATGGCAAACTCAAACTACTCAGAAATAAAGTTAATGTGTAGAGTTAATTAAGTCACTGGAGCTGTGACTGATCAACTAATGCAGATAGTTCAGGCTCAGCAAGTCTCAGTAGCTCAGGCACTGTGCCACACTAACACAGCTGTAGTTTCCAGCCGGCCCGCCTACAGAAATAGCACCGCTGCTGCCCTACTATGCACACCCTGTGCTAGAGAGGGAGGTGAATCAGCCCAAGCTAAGCATGGACACAGCTACTGAAAACACATGAAAACACTACTGTAGGGCCTCGCCACCATTCTTTCCAGAGCTCAGGATGGGATCTCAGTGTACTTGCACAGCACTGTGCTCTGCTGAGGCACTCAGATCACTGTACAAGAGCCCAGTCCACCTCTGGCAGTCAGGGATGAACTGAGATGGTGAGTTAACCTAGGGCAAGCCTGTCCTCTCTGTGGACCATATCTGCACCACCCTCCTGAGTGCCTTCCCTAATACCGAGGCACAAGCTTTCCTGTTCTGTGAAACCTCAGGCTCCCTTGAAGGACTTCAAGTTAGCTGCACACAGGGAGAACCCCTTGTTAGGTGCAAACTAATCTTTTTCTAAACTAACTGACAAACAACTAGAAGTAATGATTCTGTAGTTGTCTCAATACTTTTAGTTTAGATTTTTTTTACTGCTGTCACATTGTAATTAACATTAATAGAAGTTGTTGCTTTTCTTATCCAATTAAAGGTGTCTTCCTTTAAAAAAAAACCCACCTCCCCTTTGGAGAAGTAATTGTAAAAAAATTATGCAATTTTGTCTTGTAAGCAAAGATCTTTTATATCTGAATGAAGTTTCTACAAAGTGAAGGAGGGTATTTTCTAACAACTGTTTGTGTTCACTGAATGCTGTCATTCTGCACTTAGTAAAGCTGATGGTTAAAGTTCTATTTTATAAACAGAAGATTTTTTCCACCAGGAGAGTATGAATATGTTCTTCAAAGTTCTCCTCCTCCTCCAAATAAAAAACATGACATGCAAAGATTTTAATGAGCTAAATGTATCAAGTCACATGAACACTTACTCCTCCTTTCTTTTCAGATTCTCTCTTGCTTCCTGTGCTTTGGCAAAAATAAACCATTGAAGAGCTGCTGGATCGCAGACCGTTGGGATCATAAAGTGTCCAAATTCATGTAAGCTTGGTGCATATCTGTCACTTAGGAAACATGATGGAAGTAAAGAACAAGGTATAATTTTTTTTTAATGCAAGTATTTCCATTAATTACTTTCAGCATGAATTCTGAAGATAAAAGAATATAAATTAATCACTATCAGAATAATTGGTAAAAAACTAATCAAGTTTGGTTCATGCAACTACAGAAACATAATACATAATTCTTTTTTAAAACTACATTTCAAAATCAACTGACAACAATACTTAAAAAATATGAACACCAGCACGACAGCACAAAACTTTTGATTTACCCCAGCACAATACTGAAAAATAAAGACAGAACTTTGAGTCCAACTTGAATGAAATTAAGCAGGATTTTCTTCAGTCTGATTCCTTCTTAACCCACAAAAATGCACTTAAAACCTTCAGAAACAAGATGACTTTGACATAATGAAAATCTGAGATTATATTACTTTTCTTCTTAGTGAAAGCAATAATCAGAGTACAAAAAAAAAAAAGAGTAAAAGCTCCGAAAGAAATAAACCTTTCCTGCAAATACCTACCTTTCCAGAATCATTTGCAAACCTCGCAGACTGCGAGGATGAAAAGGCAGTCTACTGTCACGTAATTTGTTATAGAAAGAGTTCAGAGTCTCGTAGTACTCTTCTAGAGTCCACAAAGGTTGCAGTTCTTCAATATATATTACTTGTATGCCTCCCAGAAGTTCACTTATCCGATCTTCCAAGAACAGCAGTCTTTTTTGAAGCTTATAATAATTTGGCAGTCTCTCAAAAATCTGTGCACACACACAAAAAACATCTCCTATGTCACAGAGCATAAAACTAATTTTAATAAATTAAAAAAATAACAAGAAACTATAAAAGAGACACTTAACAATACAAATATGGAACTCAAAGGGAAAAAAATAAAATCAAAGAATACCAAAATTGAGAAATATCAAATATATACATTTTAGGACTAAGATTGTAAGTATTTTTCATATTTATACTATAAAGGCACCACTATATATACAGAAATTAACAGTTCCAGATAAAAAAATATATCATCTGAAGCCAAAATAAAACATTTATCACCACAGTTATAGTGGTAGAGCTATTCCTCATACAATAGTCACTATTCACCATCTACCCTGCTATTACTATAATGTAGTTTTCCATACCAAAAAAAAATGCTGCTGCTGGAATAAGTCAAGTGATTTCAGAACAATCTCTTTAGAAACCCAGGAGAGTAGTAGAATCAGAACAGCTTTTGGCACAACAAAATTTATTGGTTCAGCATTTGCATTTGTTATGGAGAAAAATGGCAAAACTCCTCTAAATATTGTATTTCTGATGAAGCATTCTAGAGACTGACTTGGACAGTATCCTACTGCTTCCTTCTTCTAGTAATTAGTAACAAAAAGTAATAGCACTTAGGACTATTTTCTAAAACGGGGTAGAATTGGACAATTGTGCCCTCTAAAAACCAAGTGGCTAATCGACCTCATCAAGATTTTCACTGACTTTTTCTATGTAACATTTCACATGATCTTCAGTGCATTTTAAAATAAAAAGCCTTTGATTTCAGGTTCAAATTTATACCTCTCCTTTGTACCATAACTACAACTAACTACATACATTGTCCCATCTGCATGGCATTTTGTGTAGATATATGACCTCCTCTGAAAAGTTAGAAAGACCTCCTTGGCAAAGTTAGAAAGAGCATTTATCTTTTCATGGAAGATAGGAGTTTATTTTAGTATTCATCAGAATGCTTTTATTCCAATGACTATCAACACTCTCAAGTCTCAGACTAGAAAGTTTTTTATTAAATTCTAGTTTCTCAGTGTAAGTTCTTAGTAAATCATTCACACTAACAAACCATGGTTTGTTTTCTCTCTCAGTGAAACACATATAGGCAAAAATTCAACAACCAGAAAAAGAAGATTGAGTGTCAAGTTTTCATATTATTCACTGACTGGACTACAGAAATAGAATATTCTCATATTCTAGCAGGGTGAAATTTCCTAGTAGGAAATTCCACCAATTATCTCCTTTAAAAGTATTTTTTGATAGAACTATCAATATTTCAGCAATCAAGATTAAAGAAAAATTACTGAAGTGACATGTTGATATCACTACAAATTTAATTTTTGGTTCTTTGCATATAATACTTTATCATTTAGAATGCCAGAAAGCTTATCAACTGAACGTTACACAATCAGCAGCAGAACTGGCATAGTCACTAAAGGTAAATTTCTGCAACATCCACATTAGCTGCCTAAAAGATCAAAATGGACTTATGGGGTTGGTTAGTAGTCATTGACTGAAATCATCCGTTCACAACTCCCTTATCTCATATTTATGAAAAATCTGAATAAAATTCATTAGTTCTTCATGGAAATCAGCTCTTTATGGATCACGAAATATTCTGCCAGTGCTTGCTGCACAGACTGGAACGGTGCATAACAAATTAGTTTTCCTTGTATCTAATCAGGAGTAGTACTGACTTGTTAATGAAAGCAGCAGTAAAGATCTGACAAAGACTGTTGTTAGCAATAGCATACAGAGGATTAAATTTAGAATGCAGTGTACACAGTGATGCTAAACATAATAGCTAAGTGTTTGCTTTAAATTACTCATCAGTTATCTGCACCTATTAATATTTTTGTTATAGTTTAAAAAAGGATGTCATAACAAAAGGCATTATCATTTACTTTGAAATCCTCTTACTTTGGTCCAGTGATGGTGAACATCCATGGTCCCCAGCATTATGTGACCTGCTGCACTCATACCCGAGCGGTCTGTAAATACCACTGTGCGCCCTAGAGATTGAACAAAGCTCTTTACTAATTTGGGTTACTGCAATAATTCTCACAATGTATTTCTGCAGCACCAATGCACATGAGTAGATGCTTTTGTTATTCTCAAAGTTTGAAAGAGATTCTTGAAAAGTCTAGTTTAAGAATTTTTTTTCATATAAACCCCACTTAGCATTTGCCTTCTCCCTGTTTGAACTTGCTGGTTTTTAGATACTTGGATTTTTTCTTATGACTACTTTTAAAATAAGAGAAAATCTCAGTAGACAGCATATTTAAAGAATCTGTACAAATAACACAAACAGTAGGAAACGTTATACGTTTAAAGTATACATAAGTAAGGTAAAAGTTGGTCAAAGAACTATTAGCACAGCCATTCAACACCACTTTCACAGAACTCCGCAACATGCAAGCTGTAATAATTTTCATTTCACATTAGGTTTTCACTCTTTTTTAAAATAAAAAATAGAGACAACATACAAGGATAATTCTGGGTGTATTTTTAGGGTGATAAATCAATTTTGAGTCTGAGTATGGTTTTTTAAGTGAAGTACAAAGATCCTTAAGAATTCTTTAGGGTAAGAGCACAGGCAACTAACTATTTATCAAAATAAGCTTCTACAAAAGTCTTCAGTGTGATGTATTAACCTACAAGACAAGGCTTAAAGAGAAGCTCTTGGTCTCAGAAATCAGTTTTCCAAAATCTCAAAGAAAGAGCAGCACTGACTTTAAGGTATCTAGTCCATTCTTGTACCCTAAGGCAAGATCAACTATACCTGTATAATTACTGACAGGTATTAGTCCAGTGTATTATTACAGATCTTCAAAGATGAAGACTACGACTGGTTCACAAGACAGATTTCTTTAGCACTTTAAATCCTTAGCATGCTTAGGAAGAGAAACTAATTTGAAACCTGATACAATTTAAAACTACTACTTATTGTCCTACCCACTGTCTTTTGACAAAGGATTAGGTGCACTCTCAAATGAAAGCATCTCAAACCTGACTATCTGCAGACAGGTATAAAATGGGGAATTACAATTAGAGAAAACAGCTACTGCCACAGGTCAAACAGCTGTATGAGAGGAATGGTAGGTCAGGTTTACAGAATATTTTAGTTTTTCTTGAGAAAATACAGACTTTAATATAGTTGTTTTATGGAACACATGGGAGAAGAGAAAACAAATTCAATTTTAAAGGTATTCTTGTAAGTCCTCCTTCTACTGACTCTTTAGAGAGCTCCTCACATTTCTGTCTTGAATCTACCATGTGTAATAGTCTATTGCTACCTCCGCCCTTTCAGAGGTTCAGACTAGATTTTTTTACCTTCATTGTTAATATAAAGGCTGGTGCCTTCAACTCACTCTGTTTGCATTTATTAAGAAGTAAACTAGAAGCTGAGTGTAGCGAATATACTATAAGGCAAGACCACCTTAAAAAATACCCAGTAGCTTAAAAGTTCTCACCAGCTTTTCAGTAAGCCTGGCAAGTTTGTTTTTGCAGTTACAAAAGGCATTTACGAAAAGAACAAGAGCTCTGTTGTCACAGAAGACCCATGCTCATCTCTAAATAAATTCTATATTAGGATATATGAAATAAGCAACAGACATACCTTTAACATTCTTTAATACTTCAGGTCGCTGTTGGACTAAGCGAGCTAGACTGTGCAGTTGGCTACAGCGGTGAGCAATACCCCAGCTTCTCTGCCACCTAAATAAAAATACAATTGAAAGCATTTAATTTTCAATATCATTTAAAAAAAATCACAGAAGTTGAGATGCAGGTCAAAGCCTTATAACACAAATAACATAGCACTTCAATAGTAATAAAAGAAAGTGCTACTGAAAAGCTGTCCATGTCATATGTTATTTGAACAGTTAAAAAGCCCAAATAAAATTTCACAGTGTTTCTTAAAAGTGAGGCCAAAAAACCAAAGAAAACCAATGACAGATACAAGAAAACCAAATAGAAAATCTGGTAGACAGAACAGAACTTGTTAATCTCTCCCTCAATTAGAAGGGGGTTAGTAAGAAAACAGTGACAGACAACCCCGTATTTGGCTCAGTTATGGAGCATGCAGTTTGTTTGTATACTGTGTAGTGTTCATCCAGAGGAGCAAATAGAGTATCTAAGGTTGGGTTTTTTTTTTTTCGAGTTCCTAGCCCAAAACATTACTATGATTCCAGTGGAAAGTTGCTATGTATTATTATATTTTACAGTGGAGCAATTTTTGTTAAACCATACAGGAGTCAGGTATTACCTTGGTGACTTTAATATACGCAGTTTTGACATCTTTTCCATCACAGACAGATCAAATTTCTAACTAAATTGCAAAAACATTTAAATTGTGAAGTTGTCCTAGTGTATTGAAAAAATACACCCTTTTACAGAGTTGATATAAAACTGTCTCAAAGTAGGAAATTACTATTCCCTTATTGTACTGGGTCTGTCTGGAATTAAGTTCATTTTCTTCACAGCACTCATCTTTTGCATTTTTATTAAAACAGTGATCATAACACACCAATATTTTGTGCAGTGCTGGCACAGTGTCCAGGTCTTCACTTCTTCTTCCCACTCTGCCCCCCAGCATCAGAAAGTAGGCAGCAGTGGGCAAGATGCTGAGAGGGGACAAAATCATGACAGGTGACTCCAACTAACCAAAGAGTTATTCCAGACCGTATGTTGTGTTCAGCAATAAATGCACAGGGAACACAGAAGGAAGGGGGGGATCCTCATGATTATGGTGTTTGTCTTCCCAAGCAAGCATTACACATACTGAGGCCCTGCCTCCCATAGTGGGTTAAACACCTGCCTCCTGCAGGGGAACAGTTAATTAATTCCTCCTTTTGCTTTGCTTGAACTCACAGCTTTGCTTCACTATTAAAACTTCTACTTTAATCCACAAATTTTCTTGGTTTTACTCTTCCTTTTCTCTTTCTCCCATCCCGCTCAGGGTGTATCAAGTGGCTGTGTGGGGACTTAACTGCTGGCTGGGGTCAACCCAGATTATCTCATTTGGGGAAATTTAACTAGCAAAACCTCACTCTTTGGGATGCAGGAAATGGCACTAAGCCACAGCACTTGTGAGGCAATTTAATCTAATCCAAGTAATTCAAACAACTACTTACTGTTACCTAGCAATATCACTTTGCTTTCAGTAGCACCAGACAGGAATGTAAAAAGGTGGCATGTCTTCAGCTGTCCTAAACTTATATGTGGAATAAAGCCAATGACCCAGTTATTTTTCAGACCTCTGTGAACACTGGCATTAGGCTGCAGGATCACAAGTAATAGTTTCCTATTAAGATACTGGTTTGTCAGATTTCCAACACACACATTCTTTTCTGAATTATAACAATATAACTCATGGAAGGTTAATAACTCTGCATGGAACACAACAGTTTTAGTGAATTTTAAAAGCACAAACTGTAATAAAATTAGATATAAGCAATGAATAAAATCAAACGCATACGTTTAATACTGAAGACTGTTTCAGAATCTTAAAAACCCTCACAACAGCTTAGTTACAGAGGATTAGAAATTGTGTTCAAAAAAACTGGCTTCAGCTTAAAAGAAGCCAGGGCCTTTTACAGGGGGAAAGGACAAAAGCATGATTTCAGAGGCTCCAACTCTCCTTTTTTAAAAACAGAACTTAACAGACTGGCCCTTGAAATAATCCCCCAAAGTTACTTTTTCCATTGGTGAATACCTTCACTGCCATTTTCCCATACCAAATATCACACTTCAGAACATTCTCAGTCAAAGGCACAAAATTTAAAAAGGGATCGCAAATTATTTTCTGAAAATATTCTGAAGAATCAAGATCTCCAACTATACTCGGCCCTTCTAAGGAAACATAGCTCCTACTCTGGAGAGTGGGAAACAAAGCACTCGAAGGAACATTTTTATTAAACATTCACACAATATGTACAATGTGCAAAGTTGCATTTCACTGCCAGACTAGTTATCTTTGTAGATATTAACTTGAATTCAGGAAGAGCAATTTTAACCAACAAAACACCACCCAAACTAACACATATGCACAGGTTCTATTTCTATTTATGTGTTTACCTCAACTGTAGCCTACATTTTTAGTTACAAATATGAGATCTCTTGGAGCAGATTGTAACAGGAAACTTTTGTCCCAAAAGAATTCTTCTACAAAAATATTCAATGCGGTAACACTTTTTCATATATGAAATAGAGCTTTTTTTCTGAAACAAGTCTTTAAAGCTCATGGTGTAGAATTAGGCAACACTTCCTTGCTCTGATTGTCTTAATCAAAGTCCTACTGATCTAATTTATTACCTGATATCTGAGAGCTGGAGTTCATTACGAAGTTCAAATTTTAAACGTTCTAGTTCTTTTCTAAGCGGCAAACTCTTTTTCAGCTTTTTTACTGCACTTGCTCCATTATCATCTAGCCAGGATCTGAAAGAGGAGGAAAAATGCTCAACAGTAGAAGCATGCTGCTGTATTACCTTTCATGAAAACAGCACAGGTAACTGAATTCTTACTGCTAACATAAAGATTATTTCAAATTACCAGGTAAAGGGATTTTTTAAAAATAGAGGATAGAAACTGAAATTGTTGAATGCTTCACCTGAAGGTATCTACAAAGGAAAACCTGGCACTTAATGTCTTTGAAGGGGACTAGGGAATCAAACTGAAGCAAAAGACACTGACAGTGTAAACTGTAAGACTTAGAGGTATGAAAGGGGTAGAGAAGCAGATTAGTGTGATTTCAGGGGGCAGCTTCAGAACGTTGTGTTTTAATGAAAGAAGCTTCCACATATCTGCCTTTAAAAAAAAAGGCCACAACAAAGCCCAATGGAAAACCCAACCGAAGTGATTGTAGTAGATTACCAAATACAAGAGGTGGTACTAGAGGGCTAGGTTAGGTAACTTCTACAGAGCTGACAGGAACATAGATTAAATAAGTCAAAGTATAATCACAATAATCACAATCAGACAAACATGACTCATTGAGTACATCTAAAATTTCAATAAATAGATAATTCTATTTATAGGGAAAAGTTACTCTTTAAGAGAGTTAGCCTTTGTTCATAGCATAAACTGATTTTCATACTCTTATTTTTACAAACAAATACTTCCATTCTCATATTGTATTCTGAGCAAAAAACTTCAAACTCAAGTAAAAAGAGAGGCCTAATGCCAAATGGATAGTTATTCAAAGGAAATTGTTAATATGTAACTGTTTGTGGGATTTCTTGTATATGTGTAAAACTAAGTAAAAATATTCTCTAGTACGTTAAACCTCAGTTAAGTGTTTTACAATTGCATATGTTAAAGCAGTTTTATTTGTGAAGTGGTATGCAGGACAAGGGGTATGCTTTGCTCTGAAGAACCTTCCAGCACAGTCCTGCATTCATTTCAAATGACACAAAGTTACAAGAAGTTTTTCAAAGCCACAAAATGTGTATGTGTCCCAAAATAAGCACCAATTTCTAATACACAACATGCTACATTAAATGCAAATTCAGTATTTATAACTGCATAAATTTAAATATTAAGGTTGGCATGCTGAACAACAAATGAGGAGCACAACACTAAGATACTTGGCAAATTAAAACCTTTTAACCTTAGTTTTCACGTATTATCTCTCACCCCTACCAGAACATGACAATGAAAGAGTAACAATAAAGTTAGGAGCCATATAGTTTTGTGTTACAGAAGTACTGTAAGAGGTAAGGAGCTATTTGGAGCAAGTGGACCCTCTGTCTCCTTCTGAACTGCCACCAATATTCCACAAATCTGAAAAGCTAAATCAACCAAAACTGGATTGACCAAACATGACTGCTGGGCAAAGACACAAGAATGCCTCAGCTTAGCTGGCACTACAGTTATCCCAGGAGCTCATTAGAACTCTCTTTAATTATAAAAAGCATGACAAAATTACATGTTGAACAATAAAGTTTTGTATTGTTCAGAATGCTTATTGACTGCCTTTAAAGAACTTTGCACTAGAATAAGACCAATTTAGGTTACAAAATTTCCATTCAGTGAAAGCATTACATACATTAAAGTTGTTTCCACTCTGTGGGCTTGTTCTAGTTCCTCCTCAGGATCCTTGAATCCAGTAAACGAATAATAAGTCTTATCCCATTTGATAGGTCTGTTCACTGTGCTTTTTGCTTCCTTGTGTGGCTGAGAGTTCACGTTCAAACTCTGAATATGCTCTGTAGATAAACTGCAGGAGTTGAGAATATCTAATACTGTGCTCAGGAGATCCCTAGTACGCAACGTAAAACTGACTGCTCGAAACCCTGTAAAATACAAGTATTATTTAATTAAAATTATTTAAAATGCATTCACATTTCTCTCCTCTTACATGAGAAACCAAACAAGGCACAGATAGTTGGAAATTATTATGATACTGTTATTTCAGTACTCACTGCAAAATTTACATGCAGTTCAACTATGTCTCATCACAGCTACTGGGCCAAACTGCCCTGTTAGAAAGCAAACTTTTGACTCAAGAGCAGAAGACAGCTTCCACTTCAAATGTTACCTTAAGCAGACTGAACATAACACCACTATTTTCTTGAAAAACAGTATGATTTTATTTTCTAGGACCTAGCATTAGGATCCCTCACAATTTGCTCAAGTTTTTTAACTGTCAGCATATAGAACGTAAAACTCATCTGTTAGGTAAGGCATATTGGTACACCACAGACAAATGTGCAGACTAAAATTAACCATAAGCAATATTCCAAATTTGGCAATATTTTTTGTAGTCTCAAAGATAAGAGACAATGTGGTAAATTGAAGCTTCAGATATTATACAGCTTCTGCTTTACAGAATAAGTTCCTATTGAACCTACAAGTACCCTGACATTGTGTACTGAGGACAAGGACCCAACTGTTGTTCCAGCTAAACATGACAATGGTATTAAAACCAGAAAAGTTATGATTTACATCCACCTATGTTTTTTACTTTCTCATACTGTAACTTGACTTCAACTCTGTAATGTCTCATTCTTTCAATGCTTTTTAAAGCTTAGATGTTTAATTACTTGGGATGGTCCCAGCTGTCTGATCTAATACATATTTTCATGGTTTGACTGGATTTTATTCAGCTGAGAAGTCTTCATGACTGCACAAGGGTAAGTAATGGTCGGAAAGAATTTAAATACAGGAAGATACATTCTGCACGATATAAAAGCACCTGAAGCACTGAAGGATTCTTGAACATTAGAAGAGTTTGGTTCTGTTTCTCTTACATAAAAAGTAAGTTGAGTTGGCTTCAAGGAACGAAATCCTGGTTTCTGTAGGTTCTCCAAGTAGCCATTTAACCTCTTCAGAGAGTTTTCATTTACTTCCTATTTAAAAACAAAAACAAACAAAAAACCATTACAGATGATGAATTTGGTAATTTTTCATTTAAACCTTTTTTAATCTTACAGGCAGAATTAGTTCTTACAAAATGCCAGTTGCTCTTAGCAAGTAGTGATACAGTTCATATTCTTAGCATTAATAATTATCTTGCATGAATAAATCTGTATGATGTACATAGTTGTACATTCCAAAACCCACTTTTAGGGCTTTCAAGCTTAAAGAAATATACTGATTCAAATATAATGCACAGCATTTCAAAGTGATAAAGTAGTATGTATTATAAATTAGTCTGGAAGGATTCAGTATTTTATTTAGAACAATTAGAAAATATGAGTAATAAATAATGGATGTTTAAGGGCCCTAGCCTTGCTAAAAATAAAGGAAGTGCATCTTTCTGTTCCATGGTAACAACCACATTAAATTCTAACACTATCTTTGTCTCTTTGAGAGCAGGAAAACTAGAAAATTTCCATCCTTGATATATGAAATATTTACAGAGAAAGCATACTAAAAGATTTTTACCCTCTCTTTGGGATGCTGACCAAAGAAATCTGGATGTACAGCAAAATAGAAAGGTCTGAGAGCATTGATGGCATCAGCTCCTGACAAAGTTCTTGCCTGAAGAACACACTGTAGCAATATCTTGTCCAGACATAACCTAATAAAATAATAAAATATTTATGTATGATGCAAGCAATCAAGTGACAAAACAAATTACATTAGAATGTGACAGAATTGAGTAAATGTTCACAACTGCAAGTATAATAATTTAAAACTGATATCAGAAGTCTGAGTTCTGGATTTTTCCCCTTAGGATTCACAAAGCTGTATTTCAACAGAGCCAATCCAACAGGTTCTAGAGATGGTGGATGCTAATGGTTGATTAAAGACATGTAAATAAGTACAGTAAGTTTTCCCTCTACTTTCTCAAAGAAAAATTCCCCAATCAAGAAGTTCAAATTACAGATATTTGCTTTAGTGGTATTTTTTGTAGGTATTCCTGATGCTTCTCTTAAAAGCCAGTCCTTACATATTTTAGAACCTCCACGTTAAAAGCCAAACCTAGAATTTTTCAAGCAGTGTCAAAAGAGTATTAGATTTTACCCAGGAATAATAATCACAATTCAGTCAAAAAAAGTTCTACATTAGTTTCTGGGTTTCCCATACTTGTGTCCATTACAAAAAAAAAAAATCTACTTTCTTAAACATCCTTTTATAGAAAACATCAAGTTAAAAGACAATATTTATTTGCCCTTTAATCTTCACTGAATTAGAAGAAACAAGGACTAAAAGAAATTTCAATGGTAGGAAGCGAAGATTGCTTCACCTAAGATTAGAAGGAAAAATTAAGTTGAAGAAGTTCTACGAAGCTCAGAAAGCACAAATTATTGAATATCTCCAATTATGCAGAAATTAAACAACAGTTCTATAACAAGGACACTTGTGTAACAGAGGACTGAAATGGAAAGAAAAATGAGTTCTGCATTAAAGACCACCAAAATTTCCTGCCATAGCTCAAAGGTGATATTCAGGTTTAGCAAACTAATTACCAAGAGACAGTAGATATAAAAGCAACAAGAAAATGTGAATTGGTAAATATTCAATAATAGGTTTCTCCTTCAGCTGATTTTACAAGCTAACACATTCAACAGGCCATTTTCTGTGATTAATGTTTATTTTAGTTTGCAACTCAGAAGGGCAGGGACTCTGCTCTGTTAAGCAGTAGAATGCTGGTTCACTCTTCACAGTATTATTCAAACAGCAAACCTTAAATATGTGGCAGACTGGAGGCAAAGCTGTTTCCAATTCACATAAAACTAATAACTTTATTAATAATAGTTAGTAGGACTGTTTCACAGCTATTTGTTCAGCATCCTAGACCAAATAATTATCCTGGACACAGAAACATGTGAGACTTTCCTGACTGCTGTCATTAATAAAAAAAAAAAAAATCCCCAAAATCCCCAAATTTGTGCTCGGACAATAAGCAGAATTTTTTCTTTTTGGCCAATGGTAAATGACAACAGTTGAGTTGTCAAGCAAATGCAGTGACCCTCACTTTACCTTTTTTCTATCAACTTTTCCAGCTCTTCAATTAGATACATAAAAGCAGTTCAGACTAATGTTTTCTGCCTAAGAGGTGAGGAAATATTTAATTAGTAGGTCTGAAAAGTCAGCTTGCTGAAAACAGAAGTTTTTGTAGAAAAGTGGGACAGAAAATCTGTGATGCAAGAAGACTGATGAAATTTCAAATCCGTTATCACTAACAACAATTTTCACGTGTGTGAATTAAATGGAAGAATTAAAAAAAAAAGTATTACTGGCAAACACTTCTACCTCCTTCCTGACTACACCTCAGAAGCTCTAAGACCAGTCATCACTATAGCCCATGATCCTATTCAAAATAGCAGGAGATGGTGAAGTACCACATATTGTGTTTTTATGAAGAGTGAAAGCTCTCAATGACAGTGCCACAGTTGCTCAGTGATGCAGGAAAAATATCACTACTAGATCTGGCAAGAAAGGAAGCAAAGCACACTGGATATAAATCCAGTTGGTCCTATGTTCTGGGTATGGTAACACCAAAATAATTGTCTTGCTGAGAAAAAAAAAATTGCAGGTTTGTTTTTTTTTTTAGCAAATGGACACAGAACAGTAAAAAGAAAAAATTTTTTTCCAGCAAAGGAAAGAAAGTAAATTAGCCATTTTTCTATTCCAAAGCAGTTTTGAGTAACAGCTATGCAAAAAAATTCACATCCTCCTAGACCTTGCCAGGAGAAAGAAGAGCTCAGTTCACTGTTCACCTTATTTATACACCATTCCCCATATCCACTCCTAAGCTACACTGCAAGCTGTTTCCAGTAGTTCAGGTAAAAAGTTCCAACACACCTGGAAACTATTAATCATACTTCCAAGTTTATTAATCATAAAGTTCCATCTGCTATTCTAAAAGAAAAATGGTCAAGTATGGCTAACTTTAGTTCCCTTGTTTTGTATCTAAACAACACTGTCATGCTAGTAGGAAGGCTCAGGATTCCAGCCAGAAGTCTATTTTGAACTTGCTTAAAAGAGAAATGCTCAAAGGCCAAAATTAGTCTGCGTGACAGAAGGAAGAATTCATTCAGTGAAGGTGAAAGACAGAACTCTGAGGCATCTTTCAACTGAAGTGACAAAACAAGTGAATTAAAATGGATTTAGAGAGATAAAACGCAAGAAAGATGTTTATGGCTTCACTCACAAGGAACAAGGATTGTTCCAAGAGGTTCATTTAGATCTGAAGAGCAGAGAAAGGCTTCATATTAAAATCAAGGTCATAACCACTTTGAGGACAGTGTCTCCACTTCATGAAAGATATGAAACACAATCTCTACTACAACACATTATGCAATCACACGCTAGGGCTGATTTAATTTATTGATTAAATAATTCCCTCCAGCTTTCTTTTTCTTCACATCTCTCTGAAGTTTAGCTTTTTGGCTTATAGTTTTGGCACTGAAAAGCTTGGCTAAATTAAGCTCATAGTTATAGACATATTCACACATTTCGAAACACTGAGCTTTAATAACTCAATAGTGCAGTAATATATTGGACATCATATTCATATTTGGACTACCCCTTCTCAAAATTAAGCTATTTTAAAACCCTTGTTTTGTTGAGAGCCTTTTTATTGTCTCACTCGAGGACAGGCATATGGCTTTTGGGGATTTTCAGCTGTGGATGCTCTGCTGAAAGCTTCAAGCTGTAAAGGCGAGAATGTCAAAGAAATGAGCACTGATCAAAAATACCAAACCAGTTTCACATATATGCAAATCATATACAAAAACATACATACATAAACATAGGCTAAAGTTAAATTAAGTCAGCAACATGCCATACCTTCTCACGGTTCTCAAGCAGCAAAACATTTCAGCAACTCAATAGTCAAGCCAAATTTCAGCCATCCAATAACTCACTTAAAAAAAAAAGGAAAAAACATCCTGTTTAGTAACAAACAGGGATATTTTCCCCTGCTACTTATCAGTGCATTCTCTAAATCGTAAGTGGAAACTTTCAAAGTCACAACAGTAATACAAAATTGAGCAACCACACATAAAATCTAAAGGTTTGTGTAAGAATGTTTTCAGTTTTCTCTACTAACAGCGAGTCTTGCCAACAGTAAGGGTTGTTACCGTATTTTGCTTTGAGGATGAATATTTAAAGGCATTCCAGTTAGGAAAAAAAACACCCTAAAAATTACCTATGGACAATGTTTCCTGCTCTTCCTGATGTTCAGGTTTTGTTCCGAAAAAAAGTAAAAAAATAGAGGCTTTCTTTAACCACTAACACATACCAGTTCATGGAATTCCATGTAAATTTTTACTAAGTCCGAAACTCTCAAACAAATGATAATACTTTAAAATGTACATGCCAACTATTTTATGGAAGCATAATGTAAAAACAAAGGGAAAGACACTGTCTTACAACAGTGCCTTGAAATCTTTTATCAGAAGTTTGCTGGCATTCATAAAAACGAATTAGCAATTTTTAGCAGTAACTTCTGCACTATGCAACTGTAGGTTGAGAGTTTTCCAGCAGTGGACAAAACACTGGGCATGTCAGAGTGCAAACATGCACCTAATCATTAGGGATTATGAGGGAAGCTCCCTATTGGCAACATTTTCTTATATGTTTTCACACTCTTTTTTGAAAAATATACTTTTGTTTGCACTTTTCAAAATAACATGCTTGCTAAGTATGATGTTTTCAAGCTGAGATAAGCAGTTATCAGAGAAACACCATCCATGTTCCAATACAGCGTGATAGTTCCTTGCAAAACACTTGAAGTTTTAAAACTTACTAATAAAAATATACTTAATCAAGAGGTTGTTTTACTAGAAGCAGACAGTGGGAGAAAAAAAATGCTGGGCTAAAATAACCCCAGATTACTCAATAATTTTTGTCTTCTGATTTTCAGCTAGGTGGGCAAGACTGTAATAATGTCATTTTTAGTGTCCATGACAACAGTCCTAATCATAAACTAAGCTAAATACGTTAACAAGCTCTCTGGTAATAAAAGTTTTCTCTCTCTGTAATTTTAGCTTCAGGCATTTGGGCAGAGGATGGAAAAAAACATCTCACTTAATCCGCGGTGATGCTTTATATAACCAGACAAAAGCATCATTGTTTCTTGCTTCAAATGCTCTATTAACTGCTTGGAAATTGGTACACTGCTTAGTTAAAAAACAAAATCTCCTGGTCTTGACCAAGTTTCACCTGCACCCCACCTCAAAGTCACTCATACTTGCTAACACAGAACAAAATATTAACTACGTTGCAGTCACTTAGTAAAACCCTTTGGCAACACGGCGTTGCACATCGCTATCTCACCTCGGGCCGAAGGCGTCTATTTCGGGTGCTCACCTATACCCGAGGCAGCACTGAGGAAAAAGACTGAAAATAAACAAGATGATACCGGCTCAGAAAATAAGCTCGGGCCAACCTGACTCACTGGCTGCTTGAAAGGAAACAGTGGCCCGACCTCAGAAACAGTTTTAGCTACTGAAAACAGAGCCCTGGTAGAATTCACCTTAAGATTCACCAAAGAAAAGGTGTTCCCAGAAGACGGCAGAACTGACAACCCCCGGCTCGCGGGCCTTTCGCACCCTCAGCAACAAGGCACGGGCAAAGGACCATTGATCCCGAGCCGAGCTCGAGCGGGCAGAGCCGAACCGAGCCGGAACGAACCGAGTCCGGCCAAAGCGAGCTCGAGCCGGGGGGAGCCGAACCGAGCCGAGCCGAGCCGAGCCCGGTCAAGCCGAGCCCGACCCGAGCGGACCCGAGCGCGGTGGAGCCGATCCGAGCGGCGCCGATCCAGCCCGATCCGACCCCCGGTGCCGCCGGCCGGGCCCGCGCGTGCCCAGGCGCACGTACGGCCCGCGCATGCCGGCGCACAGGCTCGCTCCGGCCCCGGCCCGCACCCCCCGCCCCGCCGGCAGGGACGGGGCCACGGAGCCCGGCCCGGTTTCAAAGCATACACTCCCCCTCCCGCACCCCCCCACCGCCCGGGCTCGGCCTCGCACCATCCTCCGGCCGCCGTCGCCGCTGTCCGAGCGGGCCTCTCGAGCAGGAGGGCGGTGAGGTCGCACTGCCTTCCCCGATCCCCTCCTCCTCTGCCCTCCCCTTGAGGAGAGGCGCGGCGAGACCCCCGGCCCAGCCCCGCTTACCGCCGCGGCCGGACGGCGCCCGCCGGGGCTCGGCCCCATCGCCCCCGCCGACGGCCCCGCAGGGGGCGGGGCTGGGGATTCCCGCCGGGGGGCGCGGCCGAGAAGTGGGCACGACCATCAGGCAGTGGGCGTGACCACCAGGCAGTGGGCGTGGCCATCGGCAGTGGGCGGTGCCGCCCCGGGGCGGGCAGCGCTTCCCCTCCCGGGCCCAGCTCCGCGCAAGCGCACGCGCAGGCCCCGCTCCTCAGGGCTGCTGTGGGAATCAGCTCTTCCCATTCTAGCGGGTCGTACAGCTGTGCCCGCAGTAGTTCGTCAGGGACACGGAAGGGAAAACCCTCGACACAAGAAATGTCTGCCGTTCTGCAGAGGGGATGGGAGCGGTTTATCCAAATGCCTGCGCACGCCTCACGTTGCCTTTCTGCAGAAAGAGAACACCAAGTGGGCGAAGAACCAGCCGTGAGCTCTGCGGTCCCGATGGGAACGCAAGAGCGGTTTTCCTGAAGTTATACAGAATCAGGTTGGAAAAGACCTCTGAGACCATCGAGTCCAACCTATGACCTACCACGTCAACTAGACCATGGCACGAAGTGCCACGTCCAGTCTTTCCTTAAACCGCTCCAGGGGCGGTGACTCCTCCACCTCCCTGGGCAGCCCATCCCAATATCTAATCACCCTTTCTGTTAAGAAATTTTTCCTAATGTCCAACCTAAACCTCCCCTGGCACAGCTTAAGACTATGTCTATGTTACCAATGTTCGATGTACATGTACATTTACATATCTATTTTTCTTCCAAGGTAGTTGCTGTCAAAATGCAGCTGATACAGGGACAAATGCCTGTTGCTGACAGAGTTCGAAAACAAAGGGTATTAACTGCTAGGGACTGGAGTTATTTGCATGCAATGTATTGTATTTCTAGGCAGAAAAGGTTAAAAAGAGGACTGACAAGGTTTAGGAACTAACTGTAGTTCAGTGAAGCTTTTAATCAAGTTAACACTCTCACAGCCCTTCGGGGATTTTCTTAATTTCCATAACGTGCAGCATGTTTTTTGCTTCACAACAGAAGCCAATCAGTTATGTGAGCAAATTGGTTGCATAATTATGCAGATGAAAAAATAAATTTAATTGATTCAACAGAAAACCGTGCTGTTCATTTCACCTGGGATTTAACTTCCTGAGGAATAAAATAAATTCGGAGACGTCATCAGCAAGTGGGCCTGCCAGATACCAGCTCCATTGCATAGGGTACGTATTCCCAAAGAGAGGCCTCCTCCCCCTGCCCCAGCACAGGAATTAATTCCTGCTTTTCAGTTAAGTCTCGGCACTTACTGTGTGATGGGAGTAGTGATGTGGCTTTATCTGGTTGTGTTATTCCCTATCTGTACCCAGGACACATCCCACTGGCTCAGCAAGCAGCACAGATTTCCAAACTGAAAGTTTGTTTCATACCAGATAAAATTATCGTCTGAAAAAGTTTGTATTTTGACCGCTTGTCCCCTAACAGAAGGAGAATTTTAAGCATTCTTTTTACTTAATTCTAAGTTGCTACAAGTGGCAACAGAGCTGTTTTCTCCTCACTCCTTTGTTTCTGTTTCGGTCCTGGATCTGCAGAAGGTCAAAAAGTAGCATCAGTTTCTTGGAGAAACAGTTCCATCACAGGCAATGGTACAAAACTCAGACCAATCATGTCAGCATTAATTTTTGATACTACTCATCATTCTAGCAATTTTAGAAAAAGTTATGCAGAAGGAGCTAAGACTGAAAAATGTAGACCTGGGATTTGCAAAAAAAATTCCCAAAAAACCCAAACCCATGATGACGCAAGATGCATCTGGAGAATGTGAAAGGACAAGAGATGTGAAGTAGTCATTGCTTTTAATGTGGCCGTATTTTACTAAGCTGAGGAGTATGGCATTAAGATTTTAGTAATTAAAGTTCCATTACTATACCAGGGACATTTTATTATTTTTCCTCAAGTGAAACTCTCACTAACATCCACTTGAATTCTTTGGTAAACTGAGCACAGCCTGTAACCCTGGCTGTAGCCTCATCTCAAGTCTATAGTTACAAACGGAAGCTGGCCATCTCCACAGCTGGGAGTTTCAGCCCAATTTATTCATGAACATTTGCTACACGATGTGCTCTGGTGAGGTTAAAAACTGCAGTCTGACTGATTTCACACTTTCTTAACCTCCTCATGCAGCATATCATACTCCAGATTCTTGTAGTAGCTACAAGATATTAAACTGTCCACATCTACTTTGCTGTTTCCCCATCCTCCCGCATACCTAAGAATGTTAATTACAGGGATCTGAATAGGGATCTGAATAGAATTAAATAATTTAATGACAATACAGACACTCAGATATCTTGAATATTTTATATAAAGAATAAAAAACCATTTATTAACATCTTAACAACTTCTCCAAAGGGACCCCCCCAAATTGCTCTTTATAAAACACAGTATCAAGCTCCTATTTCCAGCTTTTCATCTCTGTCCCCCATGTGGGTTCAGAAACTCTCAAAACTATCAATGTTTTGAAATAAAACTGTGGTAAGCCTTTCAAACCCCCTTATTCTGTTTTAGTTACAAGAAACTGTCCATACCCAACAAAAGCAATCTTTCCAAGAGCATACCATGTAATCAGTGAAAACTGAAAAAAGATTTTCACAGAGGCAATTTCTCATGCATCTAACAACATTCCGAAGGAGCGCAGCGTTGTCTACACCAAGCTACCAAGCACAACACAGGAAAGTTTTTATTTGCACATTTTTCTGTCTCTCTCTGCAAAAAGGTACACATACATTTTATTTCCTGTATGAAAAATTTTATCAAATTAGTTGCTTAAAGTCAAACACAGAAGTTCTTTCAGCTTAACTTACATCTGGAAAAAGCAAAAATATGGATATTGTCAATATATTGAGTGGCTGGCTCTGCAAAACTGCATTGTCTCTATTGTACTTAACTTTACTCTTCAGAATGTTTTTCCATCTTTCCAGGCTTGTTTCCATTCCACACTGGAGTTTTGTCTTGTTTGGCACATGAAATTTCTATTACCAAAATACCGAGAATGTTACTCAAGAAACCTTTTCTGGCCTTTTGATACACATCAGAATGGCCAGAATTGTACTGTATTTCATGTAGACCTAGGCAGCACAAAAATGTGAAATACAGGACTTAAGAGCAAAGTTTTTTAAATTGCCTACTGGTTTGTCATGTGTGTGTATATATATATTTCTCATGTATATATATATATACACATATTGCCAGAAACACCAGAAGCCCCAGCTGTAACAAAACTTCTGAGCAATGATATGGGGAGCTTGCATTGCTTGTTAATATAAAACATGACTGAGACTACATCCTATCAGCTGAAGATGATACTCAGGAGATGGAGCCAAAACATTGCAAAAATTTTACACAGTTCAAAGTTAAACCTGAAGGTCAATGATTAACCTCTGTCTGAAAAAGAAAGCAACATTTGGATTTTTTTTCTGGGGATGATCTAAGTGAAAATTCAAGGATGCTTACAGTGGAAAAAATTCTGCTGTCTCTAGAACATCTCAAGATTTGAAGCCATACACATTACAAAGAGAATTTTGTCCTTCTGCATCTCTCAAACACAGTATTAGCCACATCTGGTACTGCTTACAGAAATGTGGGATTTAGCTGAGGGTCAGATAGCCTCTTAATTTCCAAGGGAAATTAAGCTACAAAGGATCTTACAAAAAGTAATTAGCAAAAATTACTTAGTTTCTCACTACCAGTTTTAGTTCGCTGAAACCTTCCAAAATTGCTCTTATCACTAATGCTGGAGTGGCTGCAAGAACATCAGTTTAGATCCCTCACTGGAAACCTGATCACTTCTTACCCAGTCTTTCAGTTCCCGGGAAGCAAATGCGACTGGATTTGACCAGGTGGATGGCCTTACAAATGGCAGAGCCACCTCTGTGAATACCAAGGGGTGGAAACCAAAGTTTGTTTGAACTAGTGCCAACTGTACTTCAAGAAATTTTGAGGTAAGGGGCTTTTAAAGAAATGCCATCTGATTGTTATTACTGAATCCACCATTTTTTAGAGGGAAGGCAGATGAGATCCTCACAGAAGAATGAAAACACAAGAGCCTCTATCTTTGCATTTCTTTCTGTACAGGTGGCACAGGAGAAAAGTAGTGATCTTGGCTGTCACCGCATTCAATCTTCTCTCTTCCAGTAGCAACTCCCAGACAGACTGGATGAGCAGTGGTATTGAAGAAGGTCAGAACCGGGCCCTGAAGAGGGTCAGGAATCTAAGAACTGCTAATCAGATTCATGACATCAGATTAATGGCATGAATCTTAAGACTAGAGTGGCAACCTCCCCCAAAGAGAAGAACCACCAACACCCTTTCAAAACCCTCCACAACTACCCAGGAATAAGATCATGGCAGCTTTCATAATTCAGAGGCACAAAGGACACCTGCAATAATGCTCCCGGAACTGGGAAGAGACTTATGCTGCTCCAAAGGAGGG